AGCAGCGCAAAGTAGAGAGCACAAACCAGAAAAGTAACGCAAACAAAACCCAAAGCCTGGCAAAAAACAAATTCGAAAAAGACATAAAGCGTACGAGAAAAAACTGCGACTGCGTGCGAGCATAGCCAGTAAGAATACAGAAGGTGCCAGCTCACGTGCTCTTACAGGACCATAACAGAAGTAACAAATATGTGTAATTGTACTATACATACAAATTTATTTAATTCATATGTATGTATGTATATACAAATTTTGCGGAAAATAATATTAAAGAATACAATCAACAAATTGAGAGGACTCAAAAGCCTCTGTTCGGTATCATCTCTTCTTAACGAGACTCGACACTAATAAATGTATTCGAGTAAATACAATACATAGATGTGTATGTATGTATATGATGGACTCCGAATATATATATTATATATATATGTATAATATGTTATTGGTATATCCGCGAGCTCAACTTATGCGGTACGCACTCGTTAATATATTTTAGCGAAGCGCCTAACGGTGAAGATTTCAAAGAATTCTCTGTATGCAGTTACATTTGTATGCAGGTACATATGTTCGTATATAATAATATCTGTCAGACAATGATACGAATTTTGTCTTCTCATGGTATTTTGCACTTAATCTTGTAATCCCCCAAAGAATCATACAGTATAATCATATGTACACACATAAAGAAAAGCTTCTGTGGTCTGTGGCAGCCCTTGCAAATACGAGGACGTAAAATATTCTTATATAAATATTTTTATGCCATACATATATATGTGTGAATCGTAAACACTGGTAGATATTTTTAAAATTTGTTCGCTAAACCGAAAGGGGCGTTTCAAATTTTAATGTGGTAACCGTGCATTTTTTTTTTAAAGAACGATTAGTATGAAGGTTTGAGACCAAGATAAACTACATACAACTTTGAAATAGCCACATAAGACTTTAAATTTTAAATATCATTTCAAAAATATATGTTATTAATTTTTTCCAAGTTGAGTTATTTAAAGCGAATGTACCAAGTGATTGTTTCCTTTCATATACTCGTAAGCTAAGTGTCTTCGCTAAAACTAGCCTAATTGCTTAATTGCGTTTAACTTAATGATGAACATTTTTATATTCGATGCAAGAGCCTGTATTGGAGAAGTAAAGATTTGTAGAATACTTTATTTGGATAAATTTCAGTTTTGCACGTTTGAAAAGAAGGATCTAATTAGTGACAAATTCATGTAAATTTTTATTGTTTTCACAATCATTTTCTGTACAGATTTATTCGTTTTTGTTAACTTTCACGAATTTTTCTAATTTTTCGTTTGATTTTTTGAATATATATTTTTTTTATTAATATTCTATGTGCCGACTGATATTGTCTTTATCATCAGAATACCTTGAAGCTGAAAGCACGTGCGTCACTGGTGTAGTAGTAAGCAGTAAGATTAACGTGTTGCATATGCTGAGCTTTATGAGGTTCATACATACATACACAAACAATATCTGCGTGTACATATTTATACACTACCTTTTTACGCAGAATTTGGCTGACAAGCTCAGATACATACCTAATACGTATACCAAAACCGCATGGAAAACTAGTGTATTTATAACTGTAAGCTATATATGTGCCGTAAATAGCAGGAAAATAAAGGGCCCGTCGCTCTAGAACAGTACTCGTTAAAAAATTGGAGAGCAAAACAAAGAGAAATTGAGCAAAAGCACAGCTCATACTATTTTTACTTTACCGTTTTGTTTATTGGCAGACCCAACCTGTTTTGTTTTTGGTAAACTTTAACTATTTTAATGTCGACATTGACTCTGACAAACCACAAAAGCAGTGCAAGAAATGACTACAATGATGCGGAAAATTGAGAGAAAAGACCTTGCGCCAAGCAGAGCGCAAGAGAAAGCATGCTGTACGGAATAGATAAGCACATCAATTTTCAACCCAACGCAACCCCTACTGCAAAGATCCCAAGGAAGCTTTTTTAACAAAACTTTGCAGAGAAAAGGAAAGAGATTGAGTGGGAGAGAGAGAGAGTATATCATACGCACATAAATGTCAGTGGTGTAGCCCCTCTACAGTTACTGATATGTATTCATATTACGACACAAAACAAATTATTTACACCCTCACCTAACAAGCTTCACAGTGTGCCATCAGAGCAGATGTTAGCACACTGGAGTGTATAGAGTGTTTTGTTCTGCTGACGAAAAAGCTTTCTCCCTTACAGCAAGCAATTCATTTTGAAAGTGAAATTTACAAAATCGCGAGCGTAAGCGTACATTTGCAATCGAACTGTCCGACGGCGCGGAGGACAAACACGCAGAAACATTTTCAAATAAAATTTGCGCAAAGCAACGGTTCTTTTTTTACAATAAAAATATAGGGGAAACAATATTTACTTTTACTAATTGCCATACAACAGTTTTACTTAAGTGTTTTGCGCAATCTTTCGTAGCGTCGGGGAAGAATATTTGCAAATGAGACAAAATAACAAACAAAGAAAAATTGTTAAAATTTGTGTGCGGGTTGAAGAGAAATAAATTAAAATAAAGTAACCGTGCAAAATATGTGATAATACAAAAACAAACCGTGTAGTAGAGCGCTGCTAACAGGAGACGAGAGGTGCTTTGCTAGTGTGAAAGTCTATGAAAAAAATCGTTACTTTTCCCCCAAATGGTGCTAACTATTAGCTGCTACTTTGTTACTTCCAATACTTTGTTCGCCTGCACCAACGTCACAACTGTGCAAACGAAGGCAAAAGGGTTCACTAGCTGACCACTAGCGCACTCCACTCCGCACAGCCACCCCGATTCAAATGCAACAGTTAATACTTGAACAAAAATAATTAATTGATGTAAATAATAAAAGAAAAATAGTTATATGATCATTAATTTCAATATTATTTGAAATACAAATTTCCAATAAAACAACATTAAATGCGTTAACATATGTCACTTTCGAAAATAGCTGCTGGCTTTTCAGCGTTGACGCCTGAGCGTCCAGGCGCGAAGAGAGCCCAATAGAGAGTACAGAATGCACGGCAGAGGAAAGCAGCAAAGCAGAGAGCTTTGTTGATGCCAAAGTGAATGCGAAATACATACAAACATATACATATAATTACTAATTAGAGAGGGGAGTATTGTGAAGAAATAATAGTAAGATTCAAAGACAATCTCGCACGACAACGGAAGCCACCAAAGAAAATACAAGAACAAGAAACACCCCACCAACACAATGGAATAATGCAATAAACGAAATTAATAGTATTGCCAGTAAGCAAAGGTAGCAGTAATATCCAACACAACACACTCTTACACTAAGCAAACGCGCATTATACACCACCGATTCGAATTGATATGGAGAAGCAACAATATGTTGATAAGCAAAAGTTCCTAAGCAACTTGTTAAGCAGACACAAGTATTAGTATAGAACTAATACACACACAAACATAAACACACACTAACTACACAAACAAACATAAAGTTTATTGCAAAAAAAATAAAAATCTAATAATATAAATAAATGAGCCGCCGGAGTGACAGCACGCGATACTTGGCGTCATGTTGCGCCTCATGTTGCCAATGTGAACACTGTTGCATGCGACATGCACGAGTAAAGTGGTACATGTGCTAGGGCAAGCAAAAACAAATAAAAATTACAACAAAATTGAAAAAGCAAAATACTAAGGAAAACCACGATAACACATAAGAAACAACAAACTTAAAATTGCATAACAATAAAAATTATATTGCAAAAAGTGAGTAAATAAATTTTGTTGGTAAATGCGAATAAATGAGGTCAGGGATATTAAGTGCTAAAAGAAATATAGTAATAATTGCAATTTGAAAAGTTGCACAAATTAACGTAATTAAAGTAACCAGTAGTACAATATAAGGAAAATAATTCAAAATTTTAAACAGAATAAAAATTAAAAATATGGAAATTATAGAAAAGAAAAAATAAGAAGCGGGAAATAAAATTTAGTAAAATTCTTACGTTATCAAGTTCAAGGGCATGTTAATAAATAAAAACAAAATAATAAATAATAAGCAGTAATACATAAAAAATAAGCAAACAGTAATACTAATAAATAAAAATAAGTATTAAGTACCTCCCTTGTATTCTATATCGAATTCCAAGCCCTCACAATAAATGATTAGTCATAGAATATTTCAGGTAGTAATAATACCAAAACGATATTGCTTTTCATCGATGAAAGTGTAATAAAATATCATTAAACATTTTTTAAATCAAAAGAGTAGGTCTAGAGGAGCAAACAAAAAAGTCACCAAAGTTTTGAGTTTCCTTAAATAAATTTTCTTTGGGAAAAATCTAACATACCGCTTTATAAGGTCCTTTCAGCCACCTTTCAAAGGAGTAACTCAATAATGAACATTTTTGGGGTAATTTTTGAAAAAAAAAATTAAATTTTTTAAATTAAAAAAAAATTAAATTTAAAAAAATAAAATAAATCGATAAAATCATTTCAATAATTTAAGTTGAACGTTGTGAATTGAAAAGAAAAAAATATGATTAGAAATGGCAAGAAGTAAAACAACAACTTCTTGCAACAACATAAATTAAAAAACTTTTTAAACCTATTTCTAGTTGCGGCAGCGTAGCAGAAGCTCCATTAATTAAATATATGCAAGCGAATGCGAGAATAAGGAATCAATAAAGTAAGCCCTCCAATAGTCGAACTAGTTAAATTAAAAACAAAAAATAAATATTAAAAAAAATTTAGAAATCACACCAAATTAAATTAGAAATAAAAATAAGCGTGAAATAAGAAAGAAACAAAAATACAACAAACAAATCAAATGAATTGCAAGAAGTTTTTGCGACAACTAATTGCGAAACAAATGCAGCAAACCGGCGAAAAATTATTTGGCATATGAAATAAGGAAATAAATAACAATAAACAGAACAAAGTAAAAAAACTGCTACAACAGTCTACATCAAAGCACGTTACAACTACAACTACAACAAAACAATAGTACATATAAACGCACACGATGTTGTGTTTATAAACAAATTTTAATGGTTTTTAGCTGTGATATAACGTCTAGCGATTATTCCAAACGGTAGGCAAAAATAAAAGCAACAACAAAATATTACTATAACAACAATGTATTTTTAATTACTTACCTATTTAATTGTGTTACTCGTTCATTAATCTATAATACACATGTATGTGCAGCTCATGTGAGCAATTATATGCAAACGTGTGTGTGTGTGTGAATGTGTGTATGTATGTAAGGTAGTAGTATGTGCATGAATGACATCGCACTGTGCCAAAGTAAACTTGATCATTTACATTTACGATTGTGAGCAAGCAGAAAGGCAATTATTGGTTTTCAGTGTAAAGTCATAATTCAGAAAATAATTTTCCTTGAGGGAAGGCATCGAAAAATTAAATAAAAATATGTGTAGTTTTTACAAATGCGGCATTCATTACATTGCAGTTCTTTTTTCATGCAAAGTATTAATTTTAGATTTTTTTTATTTTCCGAAAAACGAAGTTAGGGCTTCGAAGCAAGCGATACACTATCATCAGCGGAAAGATATTCAACTTGAAAGCGAAGTAACTGCAAATACTTAGCATTGCCTTCCACCTATAATCCTGCCCTTTTATTTCCAAAAACCATTTAATTGATTCCTAATCTTTTGACATTAAGCATTAAATTATAGCACAAGCGAGTATGCAGCAGGTGGTGTGCGACTAACTTCAGATAAGTAATTGGGGGATGAGTGAATTTAATGGTGGATTCGGTTGATATTTGCACTTAAAATGCAATATAAATTCACATTCTATTAAAGTAGTTTGTACACAAATGCTTTTCTGTTGAGTTTGTAAAGCCGCTCACTCAAAAGCTGCATTAGGTTTTTGTGGTGAATTAAATGCACAATTAGCAAAAAGCACTTATGTATGTTTCTACTAAATACATACATACACATATCTGCCTTTATAAGTCTGCGTATGTACTGCAGATAGTCTCTCCATGCTTATTTTTTGAAATGAATTATTTATAAAGACCAGAGCCAGGCATTAAAGAGTTATTGCTTTGGCAAACTTGAGGACAGATGTTACAAATACAAGCAATTAATTCAAGGCTAAAAGTCTTCTAAGCAACTTTCCAGAGAAAATATGTATATTTTGGATCGAAGAAGGCAAAACTAAGAATAATCAAATAATTTCTATAAATGGACTAAATTAACGGTATATGTATATTAATTAGCAAAATTATGAGTTTGTATATGTTTTGACTACAAATCTTTTCACATTTAATTGAAGAAAATATCGATAAATATATAATTGATAGTCAGTGCATAATTGTCAGTACTTGGGAAGTAGAGTAATGATCAAAATATAAACAAATATATAAATTGTCAAAAAAATATGGAATCGAAATAATCATATAAAAAAGTAGACAAAGTATTTGATAGAAAGATCATTGAATAATCAAAATTACTTGCTCGAAAGTTTCTAAACCTTGAACTTTTTAAGGTCTTAAATGCACACCGAACTTCTGCAACATTGAACATTCCGATTAATCTACAGTAAAGCGGGGTTAACACATCAAGGTACAATATCAAATGATTTTCTTTGGGTCTCCCACATCTAATAGGTAAATGCCGCCATTCATGTGCATATTAGGTAAGAAAAATCAAGGTCAATGATGCACACATACAATTCGCCGTATAAATGCACTTGGAAATGACGAAAAAGAGCAGACAAAATGCGACTTGTTGACTGCAACTTAAGTAAAAAGGAGAAAGAAGAAAAGTAACGGTAACAACGATATTAACGTAAGCTCACGTAGTGCCCCACCAAGCTTTGTCGAATGTCAGTATGTCACCATTGTAACGACTGCTAATTTTTGCTCACACGCAGTCACTTGAGAAGAAAGTGAAGGAGGAGATTTCATGAAAACCTCCGGATTTATCATTTTGTGGTGGCAATTGCATGCTGAAGTAAAGAAAGCAACAGATAATATGAAGAAAAACGACCAGAGAAACCCAAAAGAGAGCGAGGGTTAGGCGTGTAAAGCACACATACACACATACATACATATATTCAAACTATTAAGTAAGCTGCGAACGTTCGTATACATTTAAAGTGCGGCAGCATTAATCGAAAATGTGCGGATTTGTGGTGCACGCGCGATATTCACTTGCGTGAATGCATTTACCAAGAAGCAAAAACAGGGGGATGCCAGAAAATCGCATTACACAAAGTATTGACTGTTGCTGCTAGTTGCTGAAGTTGCTGCTACTACCTAGCGTTTATGCAATGAAATAGGAATTCTAAAATACTTGCTGTTTGAGCTTATGCAGCAGGTTAACAGTAAATTACATAGGGTATGTTCGCCTTTTGTTTTGAAATGCATGGTAATTACGTCACGTATAGAATGTGAAAGCAGCTAATGATTCAATTAAAATGCCATAGGCGAATCAAACGCAACGCAATAGGCTCGGCACAAGCTTGATGTAATAAAAAGAGGCTATCAACTCTTAATACAGTTGAGTAGACATTCCGCAATGTAGATATGTATGTAAATTAAATGTAAAATTGTATGTGAGTATTGCTCAGCTTTTACACATTATGATAGATGTCACAGTCTCAAAGTCAACACAACCTCAAAAAATCAAATTTTATCGTTTTTGAAAAACTAATTGTTTATATTAGATATAAGCGGAAAATTTTGCAATTTCATGAGATGGGTATTGCCCTGATTGTCCCACATGTTGATCGTCATTTGTGTCCTCACGACCACTTTGAAAACGTTGAAGCCACTCGCACACTCTAGTACGGGATAGTAGACAATCTTCGCCGTAAACTTGTTTCATCAATTGAAACGTTTCGGTAAAAGTTTTACCAATTTTGAAACAAAACTTAATGTTGGCTCTTTGTTCAAAGCTCATTTTCGCATCGTCAACACAAACATACTGGCACTTAACTTGGGGGCGCTAGAACAAAAAGTCCTGTTTACTTTGGAATAAACCTTGTACGTTAGTTTTTCGCTCTTTAGAATAAGCGATGAAAATCAATTCGCGCCTAAAAGCAAACACAAATATAAAATAAATAAAATGTTTAACATTTTAATGCATTTTTGTACGTCTTTAGAACAACAAAATAGATGGTGCGCGCCTGTCATTCCCGTATCAAGTGCTTTGCCGTGGCCACCAGTATGCAGGCTTGCTATTTCTAACTTACAGGCATTCAAATACTGAATATGATGGTGCGAGAAACGGGTAGCAGCGGCGTGTAAATTATATTGAAACAGTTGAAGACATTTTTGACAAATTAATGACAGCTTTAACAAATGTCAGGCTAGGAGCGAATTCGGTTTGGGGTTGCTTGTCAAAACAAATAAGTGTATAAATAGATTGGTTGACAGTAAAAACAAATATCAGAACTTTGAAAATGATGAGCAGACATTCTTCATACTAACTTATTTGTGCATACTCCAGTGGGAATACATAAAGCGGCAATTACAGCACTCTCGTGTTGTCCGTATACAATCTGCTCCTAAATGTATGCAGCATTCACACTCACGTATATGGTTACATCGAGCTATCGCACGCGCAAGAGTGAATATAAATCAATAATTGCGTATACGACAAGTCGCACCAGCAACTGGGACATACCATACAGCTCGCACGATGCTAACAGCTGCTCTAGTGCCCACACATACTTTTACGCGATATTTATGCAGCGTATTTTTTGCTATTACTGCATGTCACCCACGCGAGTTTTAAAAAGATTTTACAAAAGTAGAAAGGTCGTGGATACCAAAAGTGGCAGACTTGTTAAGGAATGTGTAAATATATGCTGAACCTTAAAAAAAATATTGCAACAATCAGAAAAAATAACCGCTACAATAATATTTTTTTAAAGCGGTTGAGAATTGCTTTTTTATTTCTTATGCCAAGGAAATACTTGAAAAATAACTTCATACATTTCACTCAAACAGACGAGCACTCATTCGTTTTCCGCTTCTGAATCGAGAAATTGCTGCCATTTTACATTTTACACTTGTGGCAGCAGGAAATCTAATTTGTTTTCCATTAGAATTTGCATAAATTGCGGTAAAGTCACGCCATATTTCTGTTGTTACTCTGCATAAAGTATGTATGTGTATGCAAAAATAGCCGAGGGGAAGTGTATGACATTGGCCACCCACTTACTCACTCGCCCACTCAATCAATCAATCAATCGTTGATGTAACGCTCAACAGCACGCCAAACTAAAAGGTTGACAGTCGCCATCTTAGCACCAAACCGCTTTCTAGTCTATCAACCAGTTACTGAGCATAATTGTGAAAATGAGAGCACTTAGCGCTGGATAATTTAGTGTAAGCAAATATATTTAGCTAATTCTTGCAGCATTTTGGTGTAGTGGCATGCAGCTGCCAGATTTATATATCTGGTTTATAATGCAGCGCAAGTGAAATGAGAAGGGCAATTTTACGCTACTTCACTACTTCATGAATAAATTCTCTTTTCGCTGCAAAGTGCTGTAAGTTGGTTGGGATTCTGTCACTTTCGCTATTTAAACTTTTTTATTTTTGTCATAAAACTCACTAAGAATTTATGCAATCATTATGCTCCTTACAAGTTCCGCTCCATCAGGTTTAGCTTAGGCAAATGAAATATATATGAATCCGCGGAACATAAATCCAAAAAAAAGTTCAAACCTAACAGAAATGCATAACCAAATATTTCAAATTTTTTCGACCTTGTTTGTTTAACTGGTTTTTCATTTGGCATTTTTTTTTTTTTTACATTATTTCTTTTCACCCATTTAGATATGCGGGTAACTGTACCAAAGCGCAAATACTTGTACATATGGACATATACATATATACTTACATAATATAAAAAAGAGATTTTCCTTCAACCAAACATCAGACTAAGGGGACAACAAAATTTTTCGCAAAACATTTTTATTTACGGTTATCAAAAGACACTTACACAGGCACATCACTATATAAGCAGGTACACATACAAATAATTACACAAGTATTGTGTTGGAAAGCATATACATGTGTACACTTTCAACTCGGTTCTATTAGATGCT